GCCGTTGCACCATCCTGTTGGAACCAGACATTTCCTAGATGCATTTCTTCAAGAGCTGTTTCGAAAAAGTTTTTAATCATGTCCATATACCACTGTGAATTGACAATAACTGCATGATTGTCTTCTTCAAAAAAATATGGGCCAAGGGCCAATAACTCCAACTCTCGACAGCGCACACCATACTGTCACCTTATCACGGTGAAGTGGCCTTTCATGGAGCTCTCTGGGATTCTTACCACTCCAATAGTGCATATTCTGCTTGTTGACATATCCGGATAGGTGAAAATGTGCCTCATCACTAAAGAAAACAAGTGCATCAGGGGGTAAAGTTTCCAATAATGTTTCACACGCCCATTATTCGGTTCTGGAAATCATGTGACAATTCTTGCACAACAACCATCTTATAGGGATGGAAATGAAGATGTTTGTGAAGAATTTGGTGCATTGAACGATTGCATATGTCTAGGGCGACTGCATGTTTGCGAGCGGAGCATCTTGGAGATCTCAAAATCGACTGTCGAACTGCCTCCACATTTTCTGGCGTTGTAACGGTCTGTTGTCGTCCTGATGATTTTTTTTCACCACAATTCCAATTGTCCTAAAGTTCTCTACCCACAAAACAATCAATTTCCGGTCGAGAACCGGACCTCTGGGCTTAATTCCGAAGTGAGTATGGAATGCACGCTGCACCGCCACGTAGGAATGGTTGTTCGAAAAATAGGCTTCGACAACAAACGCACGCCGCTCACTCGTCCACCTCATGTTTCCTACTGAGGGGTATTAGACAGAAAATTCCGCTACTGCTGCATTCGCTGAGCCTATTCCCACTTTTCTGTGACCTCCCCTCACTTCACAATGCGTCTTCACAAAAAGGAAGTTTCTGCGCCCCACCCTTTATAAATCAGAGATCATGCAGTACACGAAGCCAAATTACAGATTAATTACGTTAATTTGTATGCAGCTAAAATAGGATGAAAATATATGCTATTCAGTTTTTCTCAAAAATGTGTTTACTGAACGAGTGCATAAATTATGCAAGTGAATATCATATATACATGTACTGAGCCATTGGAAACTTTAATTGCATTATTATTTTCAGGTGACAGCCGTTTTGCATTCCTTGATGTGAATCATCCATTCTTCCAATATTACCAGCATAAATTGGGTGTCTATGAGAAATTAGAAGTTCCTGCTGTATGCAGTTCTGTAGCTTCAGTTGGCAGTGCTTCAGGAAGGATGGAAGTGGATGATTCCAGTCAGGATATGAATCTGATGGCTGGTGCTGGTGAAGACAGCCGAGACAGCTCTGATAAGAGCAGTGATGGCAGCAGACAGGAAAACTGTAAACAGAGGTCCAAACCAGGTAAAGAATTCATTGGATATTATTCTGATATTGTATAATTGATTTTATCCTAATACATACGAGTGAAAGTAAGTAAAATAAGTTGAGGTTCCCACATTTTCTAGACAATCGGCTCACAGATGGCAGCAAGGTTGTCAGCCTTGCATGCCGGCCACCCTTTACCCCCAAGAATATTCCGGGTACTCACTTCTGTTAGAGGCTGAGTCGGCCCCAGGGCCATAATGTGGCTGGAAGGATTAGGTCAATTGAAAAAAATCCAGTGACCTCATTGGGACTTGAACCCATGACCTTCAGGCTTGCAGCCTAGTGCTTCAACCAAGTACGCTACCACATGCCCCATGTCTCTCCAGTTATGTTCAGATCTACTACCTTTGCTTACTTTCCTGAGTAATTGCCAGCTTTCATTAAGAAGGCATCAAGGCCTAAAAATATTTCTGCCTACACATTTCTGTGTAGCTGGATGTTGTACATGCCTCTGTTCTCTTAGCGCTGTGTTCAGAATTTGGGTAATATTTGGTTACAATATCTATAGCATCATCAATCTTAGTCAAGAAAAATATCTTGGTGAACTTGTGGTTAAATTTCTTTCTACATGATCATCAACACCATCAGTTTTAGAGCCATCATTGTTCTCAACATTTGAATGTTACCATTTATTTCCTTCTGGGCTTAGTTAGTTAGTTAGTTATTGGAGAGGGTGGGTTTCCCCATGCATTTAGACCTGTAGTGGTCCATTGTGCTTCCCTCTATGGTTTCTACCAGTCTCTATATCCTACCGGTACTGGTGCTTAGCATCAGTCCCGCCCAGCCAGCGAGACTGGCTCTACTAGCTGAGAGGTATCTATAATGCTTCCCCTATCTACCAGAGGTATTAGAGACTGCTGTTGGGTGGGAAACGTCCGTAATTTGGCTCAGTGACCTCCTTTGGAGATATGAGGTTCTTTTACGTGCCGTAAGGCTACGACACAGGACCCACGGCTTTAAGTCCCTCCCGGAGGACTTGTTCTCTGAATTTTTCCGCCCTTAAAAATTCGACGACCTCCGCCGGGTATTTGAACCCGTGTACGTCGAGTCATGATGTGGGAACGTTACCTCTAGACTACGGAGGCCGCTTCCTCCTGGGCTTAATTTATTTGACAAAAATTGGCCCAAGAACAAAGGACATTATATAAAGTCAGTGTTAAATGGGGTATTGCTGTATATCTTCAGGCTGTATAAGAAGGAAATTCGTGAGCAGCATGACTTTCAGCTGCTGAAGGAAAGTCCAATGTCATGCATATAATTATAACAATTTTCTGTTTTTTTGTTAAATGTTCTCAAAATTTATTCAAGAATAATAATACATCCATATGCACACTATAATGCATCTGTGTGCTGTACTTGATATGTCTGTATTACAGTGCATATAGAATGTATGGACATAGGAATTTATTTTGCAGCTCCCGTGTGCTTTTCAATAAAGAAACCTAAAGAATCAGAGGCTTTGCTCTTGGAGAAGCGTAGTGCTCTACCAGTGGAGGAGAGTTCAGATGAAGAAGAAGGTCAGGAGAAGGATAAAGACAAAGCGAAGGTTGAAGAAAAGAAGAAGGTAGAAGAGAATGTAATTAAAGAAGAGAAGGAGATAAAAGTTGAGGCTGAAGTAATTGACCTCACAGAGAGTACTACTATAGCACAACCAGTGACAGCAAACACCACAACAGTTGAGGAAAACGGGAGCAGCAGCAAAGAAAAGAAAGGATCTGCAGATAAAGCCAAATGGGGTATGTAGACATAGATCATTTGATTTTCATTTGTATTAAGAATGATTCCCCCCTCCCCTGTCATATATGCAAATTACAGTTATACGTACTTTAATATGAAAGTGGATAACATTTTATTTTTTTTTATATTTAATAATGCTATCAGTATCAAGAATATATAGTGTTGGTATTGGATGATTGTTGAATGTGAAGCAGGTGGTGGAATGAGAATTGATAGCGGAAATCGAAGTACTTGGAGAAAGAATGCCCCAGTTGATAACATATGGATTCTATGGTAATTATAATGAGATGAATGGGCACCCCAGTATCTGTCTCTTATGGGTCATAGGTTAGGAATTACTACTTTAATTGGCATTACATATTCTCAGTTGGTAAGAAGTTGAATTTTTATAATGCAATGGTGCTTGTTCTTGTTACATTTGTATTGGAAGCTCCTTCTGAAAAGTGTAATTTCTTTTTTCTTTCAAGCTGAAGAACGATTAAAAGATAGGTTGGCAGCTGCAGCTCGGGAAAAAATTGCAGCTGCAGCTCGTGAAAAGCAACTACAGTTGGAGAGAAAGCGAAGAGCTGCTGCTTTTCTAAATATGATACGTAAAGATCATCCGCTTGGAACTCTTGACTCTCCCATCATAGGTAACCTTACTATACCTTAATGTTATGTAGTTTGAAAATCCCATTTTTATTCATGTAGATAAATAATAGAAAGAATAGCCTGTTGCTTTATGTACTTTTGAAGGACAAGGAACAAAATGTACATATGTGTTTAAGAATTAAATTCACTATACATGCCAAGATCAATCAGAATCTTTTGATGTGACCTATTGCAGAATGGTGGTTCTTTTCATAGAAGTGTTTTAAGGGACCTTTACTAGGCTTTGTCATCATGAATCTCTTCATTTTTCTCTTTGTAGCTGTTGGTGTGGTACCATGTTGCGACATTTGTAGAACATAGTAAATCCATAAGTTGGCATACTTGTATACCTCAAATACAGTCTGATTTTATACATATATTTTGTGCATTTTGGTGACCCCCCCATGACCTGATTTAGAACTGTTTTCTTTCTTGAGATTAGTTGGTTTATTTTTTGACTCATAGAATTTCATGAAAAATTTGAGCAAGGATATCAGTCAGTTTGGAATTCTGTGTCTGTGTTGGATATTTTTATATTGATAATGAATTTTTTTTACCAATTATAGTTTTTTAGATCTCCCTGGTACCTAAGCAAATACATTCTTAAACATTGCATATTGCTGCTGTTTTACTTAAATGAAAATATTAGGTCAAATTACACTCCCATTTAAAAATTGTTTTTTTATGTATAAGTGATGAGATAATTTATTTTTTTGGGAGTTGCAGTGTTTCATTTAGCAAGAAATTGGACACATGTTTCATTTGCTTGTGTCAGAATGAATTAACAGCCTTGGGGTATAGCACCAAGAAGGGTAAAATGAAATCTATCATTTATCTCAGTCTTTTCACTTGTCTTTTTAGAATGTCTGCCCCTACCCCACAGATTTCCATATTTCTCCCAGAATGATGGGAAGATATTTAGAGGACAGACCTTTGGGGGGGGGCTGTAATACCACAACTGATGACTACAAGATGCAGAAAAGATATTACTGACAAACACTTCAAAAAACGTTAGCTGGAGGAGGGAGATTATGTTCCAACTATGGAACAAAACACTACCGGAGGTCACCCACAGTCCAGCCTCAGTATTGGTTTGTCATTTTGTTTAGTAGACCGATTCAAAGAACATCTTACTGGTATGCATGAATTTCTGGAAATATTCAGGCAGTGATTGTACAGATGGGATTGTTGCCTCACTAAGATATATCCGGTGAAAGATCATATATTGTTCTTGTCCAGTCTCCCACATTTTCTGCAGTGGATGGTGTTATGATTATTTCAGCATTTTCAGTTAGATAAGACAAATTTTGTTTCATGAAGAAATTAAGCAATATATTGATATGCAAAATTGATATCAGTATCAACACTTTGACCCTGAAATTGGAGACAGTATGTTCTGCAGAAACATGGACAGCTATCTACCAAATTAGCATCATATCCCAAAAGATGGAAATCTTAATTGATGCCTTAAGGTTTGTGAGTAGCTTGGCTCTCAGCTTCTCATGAAGGGTCCTCTTTTTGTGGAATTTGTTATCATGATATATTTTTTTTGATAAAAGGCTGTGTTGAAGACATGTAAGATTTTATTTTGGTAGGTCCTCAGCTTCCTGATGGTGCGCCAGTACAGAGGATTAGTGATGATGAAGGAGAAGTATCATCGGTTCCTTCTCCAACTTCATTTAGTGATGTACCTTCACCACAGCTTGTAGGTAATGGGAGGTGAGGAGAGTTTTAAACACATTCCTTTCAGTTTCACAGTCTTCTGTTAATAGGTCTTGTGTTTGTTTGAAACAAGAGCCTGTTTCGCCCACTATTGCCTATGATGATAGCAGGCAAATGTTAAAGTTTTTAATTCTCCCTATAGAAAGGCGAGAACACATTTAAAAGCAGTTCTGTATTTTACCTGATTCAGAGATTTTTAGATTGTTATGCTGAAGGATGAAATTTCTGTTACACAAACAGTAATGTGTTTACACGTTCCTAAATATGTACAGAATTGTTACGAATAGCATTATGTTCCAAAATTCAGACCATGCTCCTTCCCAAAGTATCAGATTTTAGAACCTGTTCCATGTAGAGCTTGTCAGTCTTGCATTGAAGAGAGTATGTTCTAGCATACCTTCATCTTCATTGCAGGAGTCAGACCAAGTCCGTATTTGTCCCCTCATGATATGCATCAAGAGTTTGTTTGCTGTGCTCTTGAAATTCTTTTGTACAATTAACTGACTTTAGTTCCTTTTATAAATTCATAATTTTTACTCTTGTTTGCAGCTGTCTAGCATTCCATAGTGCTTTTGTTCATTCATTCATTCATTCATTTTTTCAGCATTCCATAAATCCTTACATTGTTAAACACCAGTGGATGTAGAAATAGTCAACATGAGTAAACATGATCACATACTGCATCACAATTGTGTAATGTCATACCAGTTAAAAATATTAACAATATACAACATGAACAAAAACTATCATCTTTAACAATAAAGCGCTATCAACTACCACCTGTAACAATTCCGAAACTTTAATTGTTGTCACAGTTAAAATATTCGTCCAATGAATAAAATAAATTTAAAAATAGGAATCTTGTGCCTTTTTAGGACTGATTGCAAAAGTTTGGGAATTTTTGCGTTTATACTTTGAGTTTAAATACAGTAGACATTTTGCTGTTTAGTCCACTTTTTGATTGGCCATTGCTCTGTGCCTTGATATCAATTTAAAGTCATTGGATTTTATCAGTTTACCTAATCCCTCCAACCACACAATGGCCATGGGGTCAATTCAGCCTCTAACGAAAATGAGTACCAGGAAGATTCCTAGGGGTTAAAGGGTGGCAGGTGCGTGAGGCTGACAACCCTATTGCCATCTGTGAGCCGATTGTCTAGAAGATGCAGGAGCCTTGACCTCTCACACTCTCATGGGCCTTCATGGCCTGTTACAGGGACAGCTTTGCCTGGTTTATCTGTATGCACTTTCATGTTATTTGTATTTCACATATTCATATATAGAAACTTTAATTTCAGTCAAGAATTGGAGGATCGTCTCAATCCGAAACAGAATGGGGATGCCCAGCCACAGACAACCTCTTTGTATGTTCAAATACAGGGTAAGGCATTCTTTGCACTGTGAGTTCTGCATGTATGTTATGAAACCTTCCATGCCCTGTCTGTCACCTGTCCCATGAAGCATAACAACATCATAAATGTAGAATAACAACAGAGAACCTCAAAAAAAAAACATTCAAAAGAAAGCAACTTCTTTGACATAATTTTAAGAAATTTTTAGGTGTTAAGACTGAGGTTTAATGTGGCATGATTATTCATCCAAAATGCGCTCTTATTTTATGATAGAGGTTGTGTTTGATGTGGTAGATCTTGATAGCTTTTAAAGCACATGTGATTTAACTATAGGCATGTGGTGTATTTCCATAAGAATTGTGATAGCAGAAAACACTCAAAGTTCATCACTGTCAGTGTCTTTCTGGTTGAGAATGCAAGATTGTTAGGTTATTTGATCCTTGTGTGTCCATGAATTTTGTGGCATACCTTTTCATTTCAGAATTCATAAGTGAAGCGTGAAAATATGCATTCAGAGCTTCCAGATATTCTGACACACTTTATGGGATCACTGTTTTAAAATATATTTTGTTATGTCTATGAGAATAAAATTTCTTCCATTACCATTTAATCTGTTATTCTCTGCCTCTCTTTGGCCTTTCATCCCCCAGTTTGTTTTAGATTTCCATATTTTATGAGTTTTGCACCAGAAAGAGGCAATCATCAGTCAGAAATATCTACGTGTCCACCATCATACATACACACTTCATCACTGGAGTGTTCATAACATCCAGTATCATTTGTCCTTGGACTATTAGGCAGTGCATGTTGAGTCATATTAAGCAATTACATGAACATTTTAACTGAAGAAATGAGCTTGTGCATTTCTCTCTCAAGGTTTTCAGGTTTAATGGTATGTCTAATATGATCTTCCTCCAAGAGATGGAGATGGATGATTTTTCTATGACCCTGCAGTTAGTGATTGCATACTTGAGTTGATGCTGCAAGGCTTGTTTGAATGCTACAAGAATGTGCTCATGCTGTACAGGCTTGAAGGGCTAGTATAGGAAATGTTTTTGTACAAGTTTTGATTATAAAAGGTTTTTATTTTTGTTACAGAATCTAAGCAGGGAGTGAAGCGACGGAACGCTAGTTCAAGCAGTGAGTCTGGCAATAGCAGTGACCACACCACAAATAGTTCAAAGGGTCGAAATCACATTCATATGGTTGATAAATACAAACGCAAGAAGAAGAAAATATCAGGTTCACATAAAATGTACAGTATCACCTCCTCTGTATCTTTTATGACTTTTTTTTTTTTTTGGTCTTGCTATTGAACCTTTTTCCAGCCAGTTAACTGAATGAGCCAGCACTGTTAGGCCTGCCATGGTGCAGTCTAAATGGGTCTTTATTTGTGTTTAAGTGTGTAATATGGATACCAGTTTTGGCTGGAAAGCTTTAAGAGAAGAAACTTCTTAGAAGACCTAGATATGTGAACAGGGTTCATCTGGTTTGAGATAGGGACAATGGTAATTTCATATGAACATGGTGGTATGCCTTCAGATTCCATAAAAGGTGAGGAATTTCTTAAGCTGAGGGACTTTTGGCTTCTAAAGAAAGTGTGCTGTATGGAGTTCATGTGTTGTAGAGTGGGAACATTGAATGTTGACCACTGTTAATGAATCATATTGGCAGCAAGAAGGTTTTAGTTGCTGTATGGTAGTAGAAGTAAGGAGTTGCTAATTTTCATTTTATGCATCCTGTTGTGTTATTATATACAATTCTTTATTAGAGTCCATTGCAACACAACAATACAGTGGTCAAGGCTAAAATTACCTTGGCTACATGTTTCGGCTACTAAAGCCATCATCAGGCAAACACATGATTACCATACACACACTACTGAACTGCAATTGCGAGTTGAAGCTGGATACTTGATAATTATTACGTTATAAAATATATGGTGTAAAATACAATGAACTATATAAACTTATTATAAAAATGAAAGTTATGGCCTAAAATAAAGTTAAAAGCTCTTCATGTGATATTCTACATCATCAAGTCAGTTGCCTTGTTATATTTTTGTTATGCAGCTGATTGTTCATCAAAACAAAACCTGGCACTTGTTTTTCTTGTGTAAATTTTGTGTTTAAGAGTAAGTCCACTTTGAAATGTTTTTATGTATACTCAGAGATGGGCAGCCCATGTAGTGTGCTTGGGGTTAAAGTAGAATATATGAAGGGTTTTGCTAGGAAATCCAGAAAAAGAGATATCTAGGAAAATCTAGATGTAGGTTGGAGGTTAATATTAATATGGATGTTAGAGTTATGATGGGAGGCTATATACTGGATTCATCTGGCTCAGGATATGGACCATTGGAGGGCTCTTATGATCATGGTAATAAACCTTTTGAGTTTCTTAAAATGTAGGGAAATTCCTGGGTAGCTGAAAGACTTGAAGTTTCTCAAGGACTCAGCTCCGTGTAGTTAGTTATTCATACAGACTTCAGCCATACATCATATTAGGTGTGCAGAAAAGTGGCATTTGCTACATTTTTATGATGTTTTGTGAATGAGACTGTTGTATCCTGAATATAGGTCACGCCCATATTTTCAGATGGAAACTTTCAGATATAAGGTGTATGTAATGGGGGAAAGTTATCAGCTTTATTTGATTTTGCTAGTAAGTATTTATCCTCTGAATAAAAGTACTGTATATGTTTATATCTTTCAGGTCTCAGGCGTCATCGCTTTCTCATTCCCATTTTCGGTCCTTCAGACATAAGAAACATGATGAACACATGAAATCAAGGAAATCGAAGAAAAAGGCTCGTTCGAGGTATGAATCTGTATATAAAATTTGCATTGATCCAGAACGCCATCAATTATTGCACAGAAAGAAGTATTTAATCTGATGAATTCTTTTTTCTTTGATGAGCAGTTACACAGAGCATTTTACTGCATTCTGTCCAAGCCTGTGCACAGTTGTTAAGTGGTCATGGCATAATGAAGTATGCAGAGGAGAAACACAAATCTGCTATGATAAGTACATATATTTTTCCATTCTCACTGCACAGCTGTTCTTGTGGCGAGCAGCTGTGGATATTATGCATCCAACAATGATATTTTTACATCACCCAGTATATATGTTTCTTGTTTAGAATTTGATTAGCATTTATAAATTTCATCAGCAGTATACTGGTACACTTTTACCCATCAAACTATATGTTTCAAAGTTGTAGAAAGTGCGTGGAATTGTGTTCATTGCTATTAGGGAGGAGGATGACCCGAAGCTTCTACTTATACCAAATTGTCCGTGTGTATCCATATAGAAGTGGAGTCAGATTTAAGGAAGATACACTGTTAGTTATAAAAACCCATATCTGAAATACCCCTTCTTAGAGCCATAGAAATTCTTAAATTTCATCCACACAGAATATTTATGTTGTACTATCTTTAACCAGTGGAACCAGTTTTGAGATTTATCTTTGATAATTGATGTTTTAGTGTAGCCGGGATATCCTAGTTGTTAATAGTGACTGGCTGCAGGCTAGATGAACAAGACATGGGAGTTAGATTCGCGGTAGGGGCAAGAATTTTCTCCACATTGTCCAGACCAGCTCTGGGGTCCACTCAACCTCCTATCCAATGGATATGGGGGAGGGATAAAGTGGTGGGTACTTGAAGCTGACCACTCACCTCCAGCTAGTGCTGAGTTCAAGAAAATGTGAATCTGTACATCCACTCCCCCATACACCTTCATGTCATTGTGCTTAATTAGTTAAACACATGGACAAACTGTAGAAGAATCGTAGCCCCAGATGATTTTATTGCAGTGCAGAAACGTGATATGCGTACTCTGATTCACAGCGTCGCATGAGTGATAAGAGGCTGGGGGATGTTGCATCATAGCATCTAAACAAAACAAAGTCTACTAAGGGATGCCCCGAGTTTGAATGCACTGTTTTCTGTGTTCATGCCAATGCTGTGTAATGGGGCCCAGTGGGACCAAGTTAGTCATGAGTCACTAACATGTGACAGTAGAGTAGTTGACATGCAATAATAATGTGATGTGGTAAATTGATAAGTTGGTGGCAGAAGGCTTCTGATAGTGGACAGATGCAGGATAATTGGAGTGTTGGAAGCTTTCTGACAGGATGATACTTGTTTAATTCTGCCAATAAAACTTACTGTTTTTTTGGGGGGGTGGTGGCCAGGTCCCGATCGAGATCCAAGTCGCATCATTCCAAATGCCATCGTCACGGCAATGAGAAGTCTAGTACAAGGGCACAATCACATAACAACAAGAAAGTACGCCACAAAAAGGGCAAAAAGGGCTCAAGAAATTCTGAAAGGAAATCAAGTTCTGGTGCTAGTTGCTGTTCTTAACTGAAAGGTAACTGGTGTTTAATTAAACTTGTTAAGAATGAATTGCAATTCCCAAGTTTCTTGGAATGTTGGCACAGTAAAGAAGAGTACATGTTTATTCAAACCTATCCTTGTTTTTTGGGGGCTGTTGTTAATTTCTCAAATGGTAAATTAATCAGTCAATAATAACATATTTTATTACAAGAATTGGAAAACAGTTTATTTTTAAATAAGTAAGCAACTTATCTCAGAAATCTGAGCTGTAAGAAACTGGCACACATTGTTTTCCAACTTTCTGTAGAAGCCAACCATGAAATACCTTTCATTCCAACTTATCAGTCATAATGTGTTGCTGAAAATGTCATAAGTTAAATTACTCTAATTCAGCTATCCTTTTCCCCATAGACTTTCATGTTATAAATTGATATGCTTTGTAGGACCTGAAGACAATTTGTAACAAGCCTCATTTAGGCAATAAATGAATAGTTTAAGAGCAATTGACAATTATACATAATTTAAGGGGCACGCAGTGGTGTAGGCAGTTGAACCAGAAGGCCGTGGATTCGAGTCCCAATGAGGTGGATTTTTTCAATGGACCTAATCCTTTCAGCCGCACTATGGGAGTGAGGTTGACTCTGCCTCTTAACAGAAATGAGTACCAGGAACCTTCCTGGAGTGAAGGGTGGCCAGCACTTAAGGTGGACAACCTTACCACCATCTGTGAACTGATTGTCTACAGAAAATGTGGGAGCCTCGATATCTCACAGCCCTATGGGCCTTTTCGCATGTTAAGGGATAGCTTTACCTTATATTTGAGATTTAAAGTTTTCTGGTGTATACATGCAATAAAATATTATTTTGGTCTTCTGGGTTATGATTCTAGCCTCTTGTAGGTAGTTACCAAAGTTTCCGAATCTGCCTCCATCCTCAGGATTGAAGTTTCACTGCTAACCCAGAAGACCATAACCTGGAAAGGTACATGTATTTAAACTTAGTGCAAATATGGTACATTTCAGATTCCATGTGTCATTAGTGCTTATATTATTTGTGTATGTTGCGGTATCTGGTGTTTATTGTCACCTTACACTTGTCACACTGTTTTCACAACTGATCTGGCAGCAGTCATGATTATATAACATATATTGTATAGAGGAAGTGTCACTATAATGTTAAATCTTTAAGAGCCAAGCGACACTGTATGGAGACCTTTAAAGTGTAGCCGAGTGGCTGTGCGACACCGTGCGTGTGCACAGTGTTTTAAAATATAATTTTAAGATAGAAATTCTTGTTCTAGTTACATTATTTTTGGGCACCCGCTTTATAAGTAGACAGTCTTCCATCCTGCATCATCTAACTGAATGCAGAGTCCGACGTCGCAATTCATGCACTTTGTCCGGATGTAACTCCATTTCCCACGCGAAGAGCACACATGACACCTCAGTCTCGTATTAGAGGAAGTTGGCCAGTGATGTCGGGTGGCCTCCTCTAATCGTAACGCATATAAAACATCGCAATTTCAATTATCCACCATGGCCTCATTTTGCGTGGAAGAAACCGAAATTGATAGGCTGCTGATAAATGACACCGATTCAGAATGTGGCACAGGTGACTCTGAAAGTGGCATGGAAGCAAGGGGGAAATGCAGGGCTATTCCAAGAACAGTACCTCTGTGTGGCTAGTCCGAGATATACACAGTCAGAGTTTCTGAAGGACAAGGTACAATAAGACTTCGCCCACACTCGTGCATACAGAAAGGTGACTGGAGAATGTGCAATACAAACATAAACTTCCTCCCCTTTTGTCAGATAAGACACAGTAAGACAGGATGTCAGCTGCATGCATTTATACTGCAGAAAGTGTATGCATATTTGTGGACAGATGCTCGAAATTGGGAAATTTTTTTTTGGAATCAGTAACAATTTTTACAGACTTTAAAATCTGTAAATTACAATATCTGATTCTATATTCTTTGTAGATAAAAGCAGCGTTTATTTCGTTCATTTATCACAAAAATTGTAGAAATCACAGAATTTTCAGTAACATGCTTACAATTTTTAATACTCTACAATGGCGGACATTTAAATTAAGTCCAGCCTGCTGCCATTATGGGAATTTAAATGGCCCGTCTCTTAAAGGTTAAGTTGAATTTGTGTCTTTCATGAGTGGGTGGTACCGTGTAGCCAACAGTAGTAATTGACCAGATTAAGCCAAAGGTTGACATACACAAGAAAATGTAAAAGTGAAGACAGTTGCAGTTATGTCATGTTGTCACCATCCCATTGTTGTCATGAGCCCCATGTTATTACAGAATAAGTAATAGGGTAATAAGCTGGCTTGGACTCATCTACTGCTGGAACATTGGTGTAAACTGGAGATACATAATTTTATCTGTTGCATTTTCATAATTCTGTTGTAATGCAGTTTACATTCAGTATCACTGTTTCAACATCAAGACTGACTTAATCCCAAGGATATAGCAACATTTCATGGATCAATGCAAACGTTTTTTTTCGCAACTGATTTTGTCACTTTATAGTGTTCCATCATTAAAAATTGTTTTCAATATCTTTTACAGATCATGAAGTCAGTCTGCAGGCACACAGCACAGATTACTGCCCCAGTGTGTTTTATTTGGGACCAGCATACTGTAATGATGACTTTAATATGTATTAGTTTGTAAAAGTTTCTCCTGCAGTGATTATGAGCTGCAAAATGTTAATTAAATGAAGAGTGTAAAGCAATTACAAAGACTATTTCTTTTTATACTCTTAGAATTAAGTGACAACACTTGGCCCATTACACACTTCAGGAATCTGATATTTAGTTACAGAAACACATTTTTTTTCTGTTGTTTTCTGAGATGATAAAGGAGTGGGCAGACATGTAAAATGACAAACAATTGTCTTGAAATTTCTCATTGCTCTGAGAATATCCAGTTTCTAAATTAATTGATGTTCATGTGTAGTGATATAGAAGAGTACTCATGTCACCATCCAAAGTGCTTGAATGGTTCACATAATCTTGAGTTTGTCAGAAGTCCATTTTTGATTATGCCAGAAGTGGTGTACTGTGATTTGCTGATGCTAATGCACAAATTTACCTTACTGGGATTTGTATTCTGTAACATTTAGAGTTCCTGATGAAAGTGGCTAGCAGCTGGTAAGTGCTTCGGCATCTTCCTCATAATCCAGACTTAGCTATCAACAGTTTCCATTTCCTTGGGCCTTTGAAGGAGTCAGTAGAAAGCCAGAGGCCACCACATGTCCATTGTGGAGGCTTCAAAAAGCTTATGGCTAAGTGGGCTTAGAAACTCCTGCAGCAATTGGAATATTGTGTGAAATAGGAAGATAATTATATATAGAACAGAGGTGCCAAAACGCATGTGATACGTTTATAAGATGCAAAATAATAAGTCTTGAGATGTGTTATGCACGCACAAAATCTGCAGCAATAGACGTACTTGAAAGGAAGTAAATATTTTAGTTTGCAAACTGTGATCAGTGAAATGAAAGTTCAGTTATTTCTTACATGAGATCTTTGATTAAATAAAGACCACTGTTATTCATACAGACGAAAGTGAAGATTATGAATTTGCTGCTGCTTTGGCACACTTGGATGTGTACAATGTGTTTATGGTGGGTGTGCAATGAAAAGCCATAGAAAATGTGCCTGTTAGCTTCACCACATATCTGTCCATCTGTATCTAATAATTCAGGAACTGTTGAACACATTTTCATGAAAGTTGATATTGGGGAGCTTTACTAAAATTCTTCTGACGCATTCTGATTTTTGGTTATCATCTGACAACAATAATTGGCACTATACATAAAGACTCGCATGCACTTCTATGTGCATTTTTATTGTATCTAACAAAATATGAAACAATGAACAAAAGTTGTGAAGATGATAAACATATTTTATCCCCGATACATATTTCCCATAAGGTATACAGCTCTTGAGGTAATTAAGCAAACGGGATCAAGAATGCTAGAATTATTAATACAAGCCATACATTTTCTCACTTGTTTAGCTGCACTTACAGATATAAATACAGAGAAATGGTGACATCACCTCTGTCTTACCCCCAAAATATGTGGACAGTTATTGTACAACATGCTTTGACTCTGAAATGATAGTATCCTCTTACAATGCTGTATGGTGTCACAACCAAGAATGCCACAGTTATGATACAGTTGTTTTTCTGACTGTTTATTGAGGACAGAGTATATATCAGTCTGGTTGCATTTTAAAATTCAGTTCACTGCCGTTTCAAGTCTGTAACAATGTGAGTCTTGATTCTATTGCAGTGAGGAATTATATTTGGCTCATTTTACTACTTTTTATCTGCACTAAAATTATAATTTCCACAGTTACGCTGTTATTAAGGGGGTATGCCATAGTGTAGTTGGTTGAGACACTATGCTACAGCTGGAAGGTTGTGGGTTTGAATCCCAGTGAGGTCATTAGATTTTTTTACTTTATCTAATCCTTCCAGCTGCACTATGGCTCTGGGTTTGACTCGGCCACTAACAGGAATGAGTACCAGGAATCTTTCTGTGGGGTAAAGGGCTACCAGTGCATAAGGCTGACAACCTTACTGCCATCTGTAAGCCAGTTCTGCAGAAGTGGGAGCCTCGACATCTTACAACTTCATGGACCTTCACAGTCTGTTACAGGGATAGCTTTACCTTCACCTTTTTACACTGTTATTAAAGAGAATAATCAATGATAATTTAAGGAATTCTAAAGCCTCCTTCAGTTGGGGTTGGCTCTGTGAGGCATGGGGAATAATGTGGCTATGTTTTGTTTTAGTTTGATCTGTGACAGTTCATAACTGCATATTAGATGTGTCACAAAGAGAAGGATAATTCCAGATTATCTGTGCTCATTGTGAATTCACATTGAGTTTAATATATACTCAGTGCAGTAATGGCAATTACAGAGGGACTTGCAACAAATTGACAGTTTTAAATGTTGGTTAACACTGTTGATGCTTTGAACCCTGAACATCATATGGAGGGTGATCTGGTGCCGGCCAATCGAGACTGTTAGTAAAAATATTGTATCTTCCTCATTTTTGCACCTACGTGTATTAACATTTTGGAAACCACAGATTAATAACTGTTCTGTATAAATGTACATAATGGGTCATGCTAAAATATAATACCCACATTGAAAAAAGAGCTGATAAATACTGTACATAAAGCTGATTTCAAGATTTGTTTTGAGGTGGTGATTATTCTTTCTACATGCAAGAAGTACAACATTTGCAGGTATCATAATTCTTTTACTTTACAAATATAAATCACTCCGTCCAATGTGACCTGTAAGTTTTTTACTACATAAAAACTTAACACCCTTACATGTTTCGGTCTCTGTGGACCATCTTCAGAGGGCAAACATCACTACAAATAGGAAACCACCATCACATAAGTTGTTTAGACATATATGCTACAAGACATAGTACACAAAATAGAATTCTATTTTGTGTACTATGTATTGTAGCATATAAATGTACGTACCTTACGTCTAAACAACTTATGTGATGGTGGTTTCCTATTTGTAGTGATGTTTGCCCTCTGAAGATGGTCCACAGAGACCGAAACATGTAAGGGTGTTAAGTTTTATGTAGTAAAAAACTTACAGGTCACATTGGACGGAGTGATTTATATTTGTAATTGTTAGTGTGACGGACCAGAATGAAACAAATCACATTCTTTTACTTTCATACGGATTATGTCATTCCATTTACAGATTAAATCATTTTTCCATTCAAGGAGTCCCAAACATGGAAAATGTAAAGTTATTATGACACCTAATTTTTCAATTTAAGTTAGAGACATTTTTTAATTAGTAAGCCATGCACTTGGTTATCAGCTCATAGTTTAATGTTACTGTTTTGAATGGTTTGAGAGGTTTAGCAGTCCAAAATAAGGTTGACTGATTTTTAAAAAAATTGGCCAAGATAGAAACAGTATACTTTAAAACATAACCGTAACAGGCTTAGATGCTTCAATTAGTACTTTAAGTAGCATCAACTTTGTATGTTATGGGATGTAAAAATACCTTGATCTTGAAAAGTTATAAGACAGAAGACTGACGGTATAATCAGCACCTAAGTACATAAATATGCTTGATACTTTGAGGGCCATGCTGATGACCTTTGGGTCTTTCCATAACTCGATCAGTTGAACTGTTGGATGGCTGGGGAGCGGTTTTATATATAGAATCATGCTGGAAAATCAACTATCTGAAATGCCAAAGATATAATAAAAGCATAATGTCATGATGACTGAGACTCACCAAAGGAGGAACTGAAGAGTTTGGTGTGGCATCAGTATTTTAAGACCGATATTTGGGAGGTGCTTGCTTCAAATCTCAGCTCAGGACACCAGCTGTCTTGACTGATTTTTCATGATTTTCCTGAAACCCTCGTGGCAAATTCCAGAGTAGTTTCAACAAATCCCTTTGAAATTCTTTCCACCTCATTATTCACCAGCTGCTGTATTAATTGGTACTATATAGTCTGAGACTCTGATAGCATTATAAAGGAAACCATAGAAATCAAAACAAAATGGGATATATCAGCTATGAAGGAATGCTAGGAGATGTTGATGTGTTTCTCCAAATTTTAAAATTGTCATGAATTTTAAAGACAGAAGCAGTGTTAAGAACATGGTGATTTGTATGATAATGGGATTAGTGTCTGAGGTTGAAACATGGATAAAATACCCTTGTTTATGATAATATTAGCTCTTGTGGAAGTACATGGCTTTTCATTAACAGGGCATTTGGCCTTTTCTGATCTCTGCATAGTTTAACAGTTAAATTTGAATCCTGAAACCTGTACATAATTTTTTGTCAATGGTCATTCTACATTTTTCTTCATTTAATATTTTTATTTATCATAAACCTTGTTTTAACTGATAAGGTAAAAGTGAAGTTGTGCTTGTGCTTAACTAATTAAACACTATGCCATGAAGGCATATTGGGCAGTGGATGTATAGATCCACGTTTTCTTGACCTTTACACTAGTTGGAGGTGAGTGGTCAGCTTCACGCCCTGGCTGCTTTACCCCCTGGGAAAGAGCCCCCAGTATCCAATGGAAAGGGGGCTGGGTGGGCCCCAGAACTGTTCTGGCTGATGTGGAGAAGAGAAAATTCTTGACCCTACCAGAATTCGAACTCTGACCCCCTCTGTTATCCAACCTATAGCCAGTTGCTATACAGACTGCATCTTCTGCCCTGATGGTGAAGGCAGTGTGTTCCTCAAATGTTATTACCCACCTACTAGACTGCATGGTGTCGTGACCCAAAAGAGCAGTATGAATCTTCACCATGATATACACCTCAGACACAGTCTCCTTAGTTAATACTTGTACAAACATGTATTAAGAACTAATGGATACAGGACAGTAATTCTGTGTTTCTTCATCTGTCTTTGGAAATTTAGTTACCTTTATCGTCTTGAAGTTTGGTATATATGCGTTGTTCCTGCTTTTTTTTCACAGTAATATCCTTAATATGTAAATTGAAATATGTCTTCTGTTGTCTGGTTATGTTTACTTGATCTGTACTGCCATTTTTGACCATAATTGTCCTGAAAAGTATTGTATAAATTATTCTGAATGTAATAAAAAATGATCATTTTAATTGTACTGTGCAGTGACCCCACACTCCTTGTGCCCCTGCTTCTAGTCTTGTGACATTACGGAAATTGATGACATAAAATATAGATCTTCTCATTATCATGTTCAGTTCCCCCCCCCTCATGACTTTGCTGTTACAGTGTTCACCTTTGACCTCATCAGGTCATGAAAATTGATAATGCCTGTTTCACAGTTATTCACAGAAGATAAGATCAAGTTGTGCCCACAGTAGTTAAAGGATACATCATGTTGTACTTTAGCATCCTGTTGAACTGATTTTCATCCATGATATGTATGTAATGGCCATCTTGTAGTGCACTCAATTTCATATGTCGTTTCTTACTACATGTTTCGGCAACATAGTGCCATCTTCAGGTTCGTTATTTACGCTAAGCTATTACATTGTTTGCCATCTTGTGTCTTTCATAAAATTATTTAGAAAGTACATTATTCAACTATAATAAAATGTAATAGCTTAGCATAAATAACGAACCTGAAGATGGCACTATGTTGCCGAAACATGTAGTAAGAAACGACATATGAAATTGAGTGCACTACAAGACGGCCATTACATACGTATCATGGATGAAAAGAATACATCACCATACCTTCAGTTCCAAATCCAAACTGTGTGATGCAACTCAGACCAGTCACATATGTTGTACATTTATTGCTGCTTATGCAAGCACATTAATATGCGTACATGGTGACGGAAGTCTATAATAGAAAATATTTTGAACTTATGGTTCCCTTCCCTTCCCCTCTCTTGTCCAAAGTTCAGCTGATAAGAGTTTGAGTATAAAACTTCAAATGCAAGTAATATTACAGATATTTACTGACAGTGCAGTCATGAGGGTAGTGGTGAGTATTAACTGTAACCATGCAAATTTGATTCATAGTACTTATGTAACAGTCATTTCAATTGCTTGATGGACAGGTGCTTAAATTTTGGTGCAGGTTTTTAATTGTTGTTCCTTCTAAATTTTTATGAAAGTACAAACTTTGAATATTTGATTTTATTTGATGCAAGGGAATTTTAATGTAATTTTGAAGAAAATCGTTTGTGTATATGAAGGTAAATAAGGCAAAAGAGGAAGAACACTACCAGGCAATTTTTCTAAAATGTAATAAACACTTCATATCCTTTCACACTGTAAACTGTATTACATAATTATGTAAATTCTTTTTTCACCTTATTAGAATGTTAATGCGAATTATAGTGGATGTAAAATGGATCACATGGACAAGAGTTCATGCATCAGGATTATATTATTCTTCTGTTTAGCTTTGTAATTAATATAAAAGAATTTTGGACTAAGTATTATAATGTATAGCAAGAGGCTTGTGGACCCTTGGAGGTGATGGATCCTTCGCTCCTGCTGCGGCCAGAGCCCACATTTGCTGCAAAGCCTGTCAGTATGTTTAGGGATTATTCAGTGGACCCTGAAGATCCAATCAAGGAGAGAGTCCGTGTTACATATCACAAGATGCATACCTATCAGACTGTTGACTTTGTCAGAGGTAAGCATCAAGCATAATCGAGGTGAATGAGGAAAGTAGAAATGTTCTCAGTGCTCATACAGACATTGTGTTCTCTAAACTCAAATTCTAAGATAAGTAAAGTAAGTAAAGTAAAGTAAAGGTATTCCTGTAACAGGCCGTGGAGGTCCATAGGGTTGTGAGATGTTGAGGTTCCAACATTTTCTAGACAATCGGCTCATAGATGGCAGTAATGTTGTCAAGATAAGCTTATTTCAATTAAAGATCAAAATTCTTTCACTTAAATTTTGTAACCATGATTCAGATGAATATATAATGGTCAGGGGAGTGTCCTGTGCTGAGGGGAAATTGGGTTTTGTGTACTTTCGTCTCTTGGTGCTTATATATGTATGTTTATGTGTTTGTATATCAGTGTATCATTCCCAAATCACTTTTTAACCAAGTGACATATTTTCACAAAACTTATTTTAAGGGCTTTACGAAATTCTTTACCATATATAATATTGCAGTGTTTAGATGTTAAATAAGGAGTACTGAAATTTTGTTGTTAATGCTTTAAAATATGCATTTTGCATTAAAAAACAACACAAGTATGGTTCGAATATGTATAATATTTGTGTTTTGGTGTGATGACCATAATCAGACTACTAGTGCTAAGCACATGGTTGTTGATTATGAATGTTGCAACAACTTAATTTTATGTACTGAAGTATTCGGACATACTGGCACAATTTTATTATAAATGTTTCTGAAGATCGTGAGTAACAACACACACGAATATTATTTCAGACATTGTCCGTCATCTTTATTTAAAAAAACTCAAGTAGACGGATCATGTCCAAAATAAGAGCAGAGACTGAGACTAGTTCATTCTATCAGGCCCACCTGAGGAGGAACATATTCTTCCTACACTTGATGACAGTATGTGTATTTAATTTCTGAGTTTCTTCTAACCTCTCTGTGCAGCGAAACGTATGTAAATGCAACTTGGCATCAAAATTATTTCCAGAACTTCTTTTTTATTTCAGTTCTATAGACCAAAGTAATATATGAAATCCTTCTCAAGGGCTACCATCTTATCGTGGAGAGGAGTTCATTTGCCCCAATGACCCAGAGAGAGTGGGAGCATAAGCTCCTGGTAGGGTCATCCATGCCAGACATGTCAAAGAGTAAGATCTAGGTAAACTGCAGTCCCTAATCCTCCAGGTTGGGGGTTGGGCATGGGTCTAAAGACCACGCCCCCCAAAACAATTACTGTTACGAAACCATGGAAAAGGTCAAAGACTCATCCGTGCCAGTCAAGTCAAAGGGTAAGGGTCAGATGTAGTGAAGTCCCACATCCTCCAGGTCATGGGTTGACCTTGAGGCTAATGACCATACCCCAAAAAATTTACTGTTGTGAAACCATGGAGGAGGTCAAGACCCACACAGGGTTGTAGTGCCAGTAAAGAATAAGAAAAAAGGTAATGGAAAATAAGTGCTTAATAAATTGATCCACTTCATAATTTGCTAATGAATCACATCATTTAACTGAGACCCAATTTATTAACTGCATGTTATAAACATTTTCTAATATTGTAAATTCTTTCTGGAACTTGGTAGCAACATTTGGGTATTACTATAATAACGTCCTACTCCAATTTGTTTTGTATAGGTACATATATTCTTGTCCTCCAAATTAATTTCAATTTATATTATATATATTTATATGCTAATACCAGTTTTCTATGCAATTTCAAATTTTACTTCCTCATCTTCATTACTGTTATGAGATTTCCAAGCAGAACAACCTAAAATAGAATTGAAATCAAGAGAATTGAAAATCTGGTGTAGAACATCGTGAGTTTAAATATTACCTCTTTCTCTCTAATGTTACTTTTTCCTAATGGAATCATAAGGATGTTTAATTATAGAAACATTATTGATAGATTCCTCCATCAACAGGCAAAATGGATTACTGGCTCAGGTTTGACAAGTTTTGTTCAACGGTTATGGATGCCCTTGTGAAGATGAACGATCTTGTGGATGAGAGTGACCCAGATGTAGATATTCCGAACTTAGTACATGCTTTCCAGACAGCTGAACGTATTCGTGCAGATCATCCACAGGAGGACTGGTTTCATCTAACAGGACTCATACACGATCTAGGAAAGGTAAAATGGTCAACTGATACTGCTGATAAAAAATTTTGATTAAGACTGGATTTTGGAATTGGCTTGGCACTATTAAATGTCAAGTTCTTAACTTCCGTTTTGTACAATACTGTACATTGCATGTTTCAAGAACAGAAACAACTTTAAGAAATATAATGTTCGTAGAAAATCACTTTTTAAAGTTGATCAAAATGAAATTCACCAATAATGGGGAGATGGTGTGGGATTTCATTATAGCCAATCTTCTGAAGCACACGATCAGTATAAACCACAGAAGATTGAGAAAATACATATTTATTTCTCATTACCACTCTTTATATTACTGTTTCAAATTTGATCTCATTAACAATGAATGTCTTACCTAGGAGAGATTTCTTTGTGTAGGAATGTTACTCAGAGAACGGTTAATGAATTGCACTTTAAATTACAATTTTCCTACATACACATGGCAATGAATATAATGGTAGTAGTCTTTTGAGATGTGATGCAGTGTAATCTGGCAGATAGTTCCCAAATTGCAGAGCAGCCTCTAAGGTTCCTCCAGGATATTAGTAACCATTCTAATCACATCCCTGAAGACATGAGTCTTCATACATTTTCTTGTACATAGATTCACTTAATTAGTTGTGAGGACAAGTGATATTTTCATCCACAATAAAGATAAAATGTACATGTCTATTTCCTTTTAGCCCTGCCTGTGAAGATTGAAACTATATTGTGCTTTTTAACATGCACATGAACAGAACGTAAAATGCAGGGAGAGAAAAGTTATTCAAGTAACAGGTATAGGGGAAATAAGTAACAAATTGTAGTCTTATTCAGATGGTTAAGAATTTCCTGTTTTTACAGAACCTGAAGGTTGGTGACTTGCTTACATTATCCGTCTCTGGACTCTTTATGCTGAGGCAGCTCATTCTATTGCATATCTTTACAACTTGTTACTGTGAGGTTTATTTTAATATTATCCTTCAATCTAGATCCATGTTTTCCTATAAGAGGTAGTCAATTCCAGATTCTAAATGTGTAACCGCTCACTTCCTTTGTGCCCTTTTTGTTGTGCGCCACTCCACCACTGCTCACTTCTTTGGGTTCTTTACTTTAATCAGTAGAGCTGGGTTCCTATCCCAGGGTCTTATAAGGGTCTGGCTCGGACAGGGCAGGAAGAACACTTCACTACAATCACCCACCTTTCAACGGTTGCACTTAGTAGTCCTTTAATCCCTTCCAGCTTTCTGCATACAACTGAATTTATTAATACTATTGATTTGAACTGTACTTATACTATTTTATGGAAGGGCCGTAGTGGTAAATTTAGTGTCCGACTTTGCCGAAAGTAGTGTCAAGACTCTCCGAGGTGGAATGCCCTCTCTCTGAATTCTGAGGTCCACGAACCCCAGACTCCAAGAGAAATCCACTCCTCCCTTCTGCCATTGGTTAAGTTTTCAAACTAGGAGGTTCCCTAAATTTTGAATTCCCAATCCTGTTGCTCTGCTATGTGATTCTGGCAGATGCTGACCTGATGCTAAGGATGACAGCCCCTTGATGCATTACAGTCAGGGTGTGAGGCTCCGGCCGTCCCACTTCTAAGTTATCGCTGTCCCAAGCTGTCAGCTGTCCTTTTCTCAAAGCCTTTCCGACGTTGCTGAAACTGCCAGAATTCCAGGAAAGTACCAGATGTTACTTCCTGTTCACATAGCAAAACTTGAACTATGTCCCTTCCGCGTATAAGAGCTGGCTATCTGCCGGATCTCTTTGTTTGTAATATTGTTAATCTTAACTTAATACAAAATTTAATTTTTACACAACACTCCTCCAGTCAGAATGGACGGTTACAAATGGGAGCATTTCTTTTATGGATTGTGTAGGTCTTTTGGGTTATGGTACTGTGTCATAGTGTGGTAGATGGATTCCAATATTTTGGACGAACATAACTGCATCCCTCATCAGGGTAGGGGCTGAAGTTGGAACACTATGTTCCTTTGTAACATTAGTACCCATCTTCCAAATTACAACAATCTTATAACCCAAAAGATCACAATATGACTTTCCAAATTCATGAAAGCCTAAAATCTTTTGCAGTACTTCCTGTACAGAATTATTCAAAATAACTATCATCTTATGCACTGTTTCTCCTGCAACAAGACAGAGACAGATACATAAATGCAGGCTATAATATAAATTTCAAAAGTGTTGAATTTTCATATTCTGCCATGTGTTAATTTTTGGAAGTTCTCTTGACGCCAGTCTTTGAAGCACAAAGCAGCTTGTTTTCTGTCACTATTGAATTCAAAGATATACCTAGCATTAATGGCACAAATCATCATGTGTTCCATCTGCAAAATTATATACTGGTTTTGAATGTAGTTCAGTAGAGGTCTACGCTAACAGTTACTGGCCACCTTTCATGACTTTTATATCAGTCCCCTATAATCTCCACTGCATATGATATTGAAACGCAACATTATGAAATTTCTCAACCTTCGTTTAAAATATAATTCCGTGCAACAAGAGTCTTGAGAAGCTAATAGTTGTTCAGTTAAGGAACCTCTCTGTTTTTATTGTGTTTACAAAACTCACCTTTACTCTATCTTCAGCCAGAATGGAGGCCACTTTTTTTATTGCCTAGGGTGGGGTAAGACAGAGTTGGTATGCAGGCCACTAGTAGGCGCGTTGTACCAGCCCTGGATGACAGATGAGTATGGAACAGTCAGCAGAATAAGAATTGGCTGGGGAAACTGAAATACATGGATAAAACCTGTCCCACTGCCCCTTTGTCCACCACAAATCCCACATAAGATAGTGTGGGCTCAAACCTGGGCCAAAACAGTAGAAGGATCGAGTCCATACTGTCACATCTATGCATTTCTTGTGTTACATGTTCTGTCCATCTCATCCTCCTTTATTTGATGGCCATAAGAATAAGGATACAAACATACTCTAAACGTCACTAAGCAATTTTTATTTATGTGTTACTTCCTCTCTGTTGAATCCAAGTATGCAAATTACTGTGCTTCATTCAAAATACTAGAATACTGTAGGACTGAACTTAGGAACTGATGCACAGGAGGTCAATGGCAGTCATGGTGCAAAGGTTGAAATATGCTCTTCAGCACCCTGTTGTCTAACACTTCCAGTGTGTGTTTATCTCTTATGGTATTTCATGTGTTTATGTTTAATAAAGTACATAATCAAAATCTGCTCCACTGTTGATTAGTATTTGTGCTGTGAGCTTTATCATCAATTAATTTGTATCTGCACAGTTTCTGTACAACAGTTGATGTGCAGCTGTTTTGATGACAGCACTGACTTCATTTTCTGGCAGATCATGGCCTTCTATGGTGAACCACAGTGGGCGGTTGTAGGAGATACATTTCCTGTAGGCTGTGCTTGGGGGAATTCTATAGTGTACAGACAAACCAGCTTCAAGAACAACCCTGATGGGAACAACTCACTGTACAAGTCAGTCAGTTTGTATTTTAGTTTTGTTTTCATCCCTTAACTCATACATAAATTGATTACCTGGCTGCCTCTCACTGCATGTATCACTATTGTTATTTTCTTATTAATATAAAAAATTGTGATCTTATTTATTTATTTGTTTATTTATCCTTCATCATAAATGGAACACTAATGGTTTGAATATGCTTTTGCTTTTGGCACATAGCTTTCTTGATATAAAGGTTTATAAGATTCTAAAATGTGATACTTCAGTTTCTTATTTACATGTTTCCTAAACTTTACGAAATATTTTATTGTGAGGTTTGTCTATTGACTATGACATAAACCGCATGAACAAATTTAAACTGTGTTCCATGTCAGAAATTTTCAAGTACATGTCTGAATGTGTTAATAGTGAAGATGCATAATACAAGTCAATTCACAGCCATCTTTAACTCCTCACTTTGGTGCTTGAATTTAATTGTAAGTCTTTATTTCAGCACCAAGTTTGGTATATACAAACCTAACTGTGGCCTGGAGGATGAAGTAATGTCATGGGGTCATGATGAGTACATGTACCAAGTGCTCAAACACAATAAGACCACACTTCCTGAAGAAGCACTGTATATGATCAGGTAAGCATCAGTCTCTGGTTGTAACATGACCCTTAATTTCTGTTAATTTTGAGAATTTAGAGGTTAAAAGCGCCACTTCATGTTCTCTAGCTTGAATAATTTATAAGTTTTGTCTGAATTTGAATATCTGTTATAAATTTCTGTTTCTTCCTTCTGGTACAGTGACAGTTTTTTGCATAACTTAACAATAACATAATCTGTTGGAAATGCAACAGTATGTTTCATATGCATTCAAGAGATTTAGTTTGAATCACAGCTGACAACAGTCCTCCCTAACATGTTCCTCATCTTTCCAGGATGTATCAGGATAGTACTGTAAAATGCAGACAATGACCACTTCATTGTACATCCCTCTCATTTTGGAATTCAGTACATAACTTCAGCAGTTGATAGAGAGTCATAAATTAACTAAATTTCTCCATTTTGATGCCTTATGTTTATAAATATTGTTTTGTCTCTGCTTTCTTGGCCTGTTTGCTTTCGTACTAAAGGAAAGCACTTTGTTAACTTGAGTTATACCACTGGCATTTTTAAAATCTTCAAACAGCTGATGTGCTGATTCATTATACTTGTATATGTATATATACAAAAGGAAAGCACTTTGTTAACTTGAGTTATACCACTGGCATTTTTAAAATCTTCAAACAGCTGATGTGCTGATTCATTATACTTGTATATGTATGTATACAAAACAACAAGCATAAATTATTGTTTGATCTTTAACTTTTTAGATAGGACACAGGAAGATAAAAGATTCTGAACTGCCCTGTAGCAAGCTCTTTTCAAATTTAATCTCTTCTTTATTTAATAATTTGTATTGTGACATGGAGGACAACCCCTCCCTACCCAGCAGTGACATGGCAACTCTGGCCACAGTGACGTGGCGGATGAATCAGCGCTCCGTCCCCCACCTCCGCGGTGACGTAACACGCAACGCCGCAATTGCTACGTACCTGTAAACAACTTCCAACAGCGTTGCGACGTAACAGGCAAACACTGCCACTATACAAGAGAGCTGCACTTCCTGCGAGGCGAGTTGAAATGTGGCCATCGCTGAGTTCAGTTGTTGTTGTCAGTCTAAAGCGTATCAGCCGCCGAAGTGAGTTCTCCAGTCAGCGGCCTACAGTTGAGTTGAAATAGAGCAGCAGTCGCGGTAAGAAGAACCGAATGCATGGTTACAAGATTTTATGTGACAGTGTGCGATAACTAAGAAGTCAGCGAGTGGAAGACTTATTGTGTGCTTTCAAGACTTTGTGTGTGCTGTAGTACAGTTATATTGGGAGTGTGTGATACAGTTACACTTGTATAGCTCCCGTATCATAATTAGTACGTGTAGACTACTGAAGATAGAGTGAATTGATTCGTGAATAGGGTTATAAATTGTGAAACCCCGCAACATTGTTATAATTAATTGTAGCCGTTACTTGTAGGTTGTTGAATAAACCAATTAACAATCTCTACGGCGTCTTCAGTAACGAAACACGTTACATTGGTGTCAGAATTGGTTTACAAGCTTAAACACGCCTCGATCCAGGAAGAAGTATTGCATACAAAAAAAAAATGGAGGAGCAAGACTTTCAACTTATACTTGAAATGCTGGAAGAATTGGAGGCCAATAGGAGGAAAGACCATAAGGATTTCATGGCAAGATGGGAGTTTGGTGTTTTCATTTCCAAGTACTTGACCTTTGCCATATTTTCAAAGAATTAGATTTAGTAGGTGGTGCTGAAGATTACTGTCTTCTGGTGCATGACCATAGTAGACTACACAGCGTCACATCCCAGAAGACAGTAACCTGCGATCTAGTAGATGCCATGTGTTATAATTTTGTCCTCCTTCTGATGATGAGACATTAATATATGCTTAGTTTTCTGTGCCTTTATGCACACAGACAAAGTTCCTTATTAGCTTTTGTAGAGTCTTGTATTAATGCATCTGCTGAACCAAATATTTATGTTATTCATAAACGTTGTATGCATTAATTTTAAATGTACTGTGCAGATTCCACTCATTTTACCCGTGGCATGCTGGTGGTGACTACACACATCTGTGTAATGAGAAAGATCATAAAATGCTGCATTGGGTTCATGAATTTAAGTAAGTGATACTACAAAGCATTTGGTTTCATCACTTGATTTACTGTCATATACATCCGTTGTCTGTTGTGAGTGCAACATGTGAGTGGAATTCACATTTAAATTTCACCTTATCTCTTATCTCTGCTGGGAATGAACCCTGATTTCTTTGTTGTCCAGCCTGCAGCAGTTTCAACTGCGATGCTTGTATTTTGTGTGACAGTGGGTCTCTCACAAATATGCATCATCTGTTAAGGCTATTTTTGTGTACAATTAACAACATACTGACTGTATGAAACCTATATTTACGTAGGTCATACCGAAAGTCATGAGCAACTTTTTTTTTTTGCATGCTACCTGGGAACAGCAGATGAAAGAGAGTACAGTGGTAGGTGGAACCAGCTGTTGTGTTAACCTTGAGTGTCTTGTGACATCAATGGCTTGCATCATGTGACCAGTATCACTCCTAACAAAATAGCTGACAACGTTTCGCCAGCATGCTGTCATCAAATTTCTTGTGAAAGAGGAAATCCCTGCTGCAGATATTCACCAGAGACTTCAGTGTGCTTATGTAAGTGTGTGCATGGGTGCAAGCAGTATTCGAAGGTGGGTGAAACATTTTAAAAATGGGAACACCAGCATCGAAAATGAACCTCAGAGTGGTCGTCCTCGAACAGCCTCAACTGAACGCGACAAGGAAAGAGTGCATGAGATCTTTCAAGATGACAGGTGTGTGACTGTGGACACAATAGCCCGAAAACTTGGAATAGGGCACAGTGCAATACAGGAGATGGTTGAAAGCTTGAGCTATAGGAAAGTTTGTGCTCGTTGGGTCCCGCAGTTATTCTGGCCGAATTCCTGGAACCTGGGCAAACCATCAGTGCTACTCGTTATGTCCAGATGCCGCAAAAGGTCCATCGTGCATTGCGTGATAAACGTCCAGGACAAAACATCATCATCCTGCATGACAACACTCACCCCCACGCCGCTCGCCTCACATTGGAAACAATTGCAAAAATGGGGTGGGAAGTTCTTCCACACCCCTCCTATAGCCCTGATCTGGCACCCTCCGACTACCATCTTTTCGGATTTGTGAAGGATAAGCTGCATGGACAACGTTTTGAGACAAGGGAGGCAATTCAGAAAACAGTGCATCAGTCTCTTCAGATGGCTGGAACAGAATTTTACAGAAGGGGAATTTTCAAACTCCCAGAACGCTGGGAGAAATGTGTACAAAGAAGTGGCGATTATGTGGAAAGATAAAGAAAGGTCTGTAGATTGAGGTGGTATATTAGGTTTGTCAATAATAAAGCATGTTACTTTACAAAAAATTGTTGCTCATGACTTTCAGTATGACCCTCGTACTTTCATTTTATAGTGCAACTGGGGCACGCGGTAGTGTAGTTGGTTGAGATACTATGCTACAAGCTGGAAGGTCGCTTGTTTGAGTCCTGATAAGATCGCTGAATTTTTTCAGTTTACCTAATCCTTCCAGCCGCACTATGGCCCTGGGGTTGACTCGTCTATAACAGAAATGAGTACCAGGAATCTTCCTGGGGAGTAAAGGGCTGCCAGTGTGTAAGGCTGACAACCTTACCGCCATCTGTGAGCAGAGTGTCTAGAAGATGTGGGAGCCTCAGCGTCTCACAACTCTATGGCCTTCACAGCCTGTTAGAAGGATAGCTTTTCCTTTTACCTTTTTTACATAGTAATTCCTTTCTTAAATAAGAAAGTAAGCTCATGAGATACATTTGAACGTTTGAAACATTTGACTGATTTTGTGAAATTTTGTATCCAGTTTGAAGCCACCCCAGTCTGATATGGTTTAATGTTTTTCTTTCATAATAATTTTCATCTTGTCAGAGACCTGTTTTGTAACCTGATAGCGTAGTTTAGTTCATTTGTTAATGAAGTGATACTGCCTCTATATATGATCACTTATCCCTTATGCTGAGACACATTTGCATTTAAGTGTAGCACAATCAGTTGTCCAAGTTCATGGGAATGTAGAGGAAGTCCAAATAATTGAATATACATTATAATTTTCAGCTGACATAAATGACATACCATGAACTAATCCTTGTAGTGTCAGAATCATAATTTTAACACCAGGGATTGTTATTGGGCGGGGGGGGGGAATCTGTTCTTTACCTCACCCCTAATATTCTGCATTTCCTGACAACAGGAAGGCCTGGTAAAATAAAACATAATGGGAATTCACAACTCCCTGTATACTATATGTAAGATAAACACCGTCTTAAGTGTAACAATTTAATTTAGTTGTTTCTTCTTTCCCTTACTCCACACTACATGTTTCGGCCCTAAATGGCCATCATCAGGTGTGTATTCTTACATAGCTGTTACACTGCTTGTTAAAATTTAAAATCACCAGTCTTTGTAATTGTATAAAATGTTTGTTAACCTACACACGTTAATTTTGATTTCTAATTAGCACTTTTTTAAAACTTTAATTCAAGTTAAAATATCTATAAAATTTCTATAAAATTTCTGTTCTTTTCCTTTTTCAAATTTTAAAATTAAAATTTTCCTCAGGGTACATGCCCTATGTCTAAGTGCTGCAGCGGCCACTTCTTGTTTATCNCCTGTATACTGTTTTAAAAATTCAACAAATGATAAAGACAAATGTACTTTTTTAACTGGGAGCATGCTAAATTATTCACTGAAGTTTATCAACTGATTTATTTTGTCCTACTGAATATTTTATCTACATAGGAGACAAATGCTTGCCAGAGGAGTATTGCAGAGTGTTACACTTATGAAAGTTTTAAACATATTAAAGTAATATTATTTTCCTGCATTCTTTTGCAGCAAATATGATCTGTACACAAAGAGTGCAGATGTGCCAGATGTTGAGTCGCTAATGCCATATTATCAGTCTCTTATTGACAAGTATATTCCAGGAGAAATTGAATGGTAGAAAATGAGTCAGCATGATAGTGTGAAGTACACACTATCGACATAAATAATTGATGTATAAACAAGTACACATCATGCCTCATGATGATTTTTGGGGAGGGATTATAGGCACATAGTTTGATTATTTCAGTATTTATAAAAATAATATGTTTGTCTGAGAAAGATGTGTTTCTTGCAGTGTATTTGAAATGTTAGAGCAAAGGCTTGAAAGTGTATTGGCATCTGTTCAAGCCAAAGATATATCAGTGTGTCCAAATTACTGGTGTTGATTTGAAATGTGAATTTCCTCACTTTTGAACTTTTTAATTTTCTACCATCTGTAATACTGGGACACATGGTAGCGTAGTTGGTTGAGGCACCATGCTACAAGCTGGAAGGTTGCGGGTTCAAGTCCCGATGAGGTCATTGGATTTTTTTCAATTGACCTAATCCTTCCAGCTGCACTATGGCCCTGGGGTTGACTCAGCCTCTAACAGAAATGAGTACCAGGAATAAAGTAAATAATTTTTCTGGGGAGTAAAGCGCGGTTGGCGCATAAGGCTGACAACCTTACTGCCATCTTTGAGCCGATTGTTTAGATAATGTGGGACCCTCAACGTCTCACAACCCTATGGGCCTTCACGGCCTGTTACAGGGATAGCTTTACTTTTTTACTTTACCCTCAGTAATACTAACATCATGGCGATGTGTTCATCAGAGTTTGGAACATCACTAGCACCATTTAAAACATAATTCTGAAAGTTTGAATGTTAGTAAACTTTTAACAATGTGCAGCTACTCTTAAGGTAATATTTTGGGTGATGTACTGTAAAACAGCAACCTTGTGACCATACAGATCAAATGAATCATTGGAGCTAGATCTTTGAACTTTTTAATGGAAACAGATCATAACCTACCTACCTACCTACCACTCAGCACTACAGCCCTGGGTGAGCCTGGGCCTCCTCTACAACCAGTCTCCACTGCTGCCTATTAACAGATCATAAACATGTGTACAAATTCTGTGTAAAACATTTCCTATATGTTAACATGGTGATGGCGTGGATCTTGAAGGTTATGTGTGACAGAATTAATGTAGTCTGATAGTACATTTGGAGATTTCTTCACAGATGTGTACCATTAAATTGCATTAGTCTTACTACTACTTACTACTACTTCTTCCCTGAATTTCTTATTATGTAATAAATGTATTTTTTATTTTAGAGATTGTATGGTATTGTATTTTATTTCATCCGTTTTGCTACATAGTAACACTTGGACAAGTCATTCGGTAATACAAGTTAACAAAATAAATCTACAAAGTTACAAGCATACTACCAACATTTGTTACAATCACAAGCAATATATAAATACAACATTCCAACAAATATACAAACTACTATATACAGCTCATGAATGGCTATAACATCCAAACATAAGTACTTGCACCATCCACTTTTTTATTAAAATTAACAAATTCATTTATCGTGTAAAAAGAATGTTTCAGTAAGAATGATTTTAAGTCTTTTTTAAAATCTGAAAAACCCACCAAGTTTTTTATTTTGTTTGGCACCTTACTATGCAATTCTATCCCCATATTTACCACACTTTTTTTTTTAAATAATGTAGTTCTACAGAATTGAACATGAAAATCCTTGTTTATTCTTGTATTATAACTATGAATATTTATATTTTGGATCAAATCTGCTTTATGCTTTTTTATGTAACATAACACCTCTAAGACATACAAAGATCTGGCCGTGAGGATGCAAGTGGATGCATGCATGTGTATAATAGCAACGAACTAAACTAACTATTTAACTTCATGGAGCTGAGTTCCTCTTGAGAAGCTTCCAGTTTTGCAGCTATTCTGTAACCGTTCCACTGCTACGCAATTTTTTTTTATGTAATCAACTTTATAAATTTGAAAGCGTAATGGTTCAAAATGAAATGCATTGAACAAGGGTAGTGAAACATGGTCAATTCTTGTATGTAAGAGAAAGCGATTTCTCAAGCTTGCAACAAGAGACAGGAAGACACCCTTCAAAGGTTTATTAGTGAGAGCTGCGTTAAAGAATAGAGTAAAGAAATCCTTTGTAAATTCATACTTGGCAGTTTGTACATGCCATAACTTAAAAAGAGTGAAGTTTTTAGGGCCCAAGCGACGCGTAAGCATTTGTCACTTTCTGACAGAAATACGTTGGAGTCAAAAATCCTTAAACGCTTGTAAGCTTTAAGCGGAGTGGAGGAATATCTAATTAAGATACTCCTATTTTTCAAAATTAGCCAATCACTAAAATTTAAGGGTGTGACAGAGCAGTGACGCTGGTGAAAGCAGGAATTGAAGGTTTGAGGAAGCGTCATGTTTTAGCATCAGTCTGCAAACGGGAGTAGGAGGAATCAGACGTAAAGTCTGCAAACGGGAGGTGAATGAAACAGACGTAAATTCTGCAAACGGGAGGTGAAGGAAACAGATGTAAATTCGGAAACTGGGAGTCGTTAGAATTAGCAGCAAAAAGTTATACACCGGGCTCAGAAACAGTTAAACACAAAGGTTACTGACATTGAAACTGTATTAAAAGTGATTAACAAGTGTTCAATATAATTCGTCCAAAATTGAGATGTGCTTGTGATTTGTGGTGTTAATTTATTCCTTTCGGAGTTGTGGCCCGTTCAAGGCTCTGAGATAAGAGGTACTCAGCTCTACCAAAACAACAAAACCCCCTCCTTTTAAATTAACCCTGAGATATTTAGCAACAAGAAAGAAGAACCTACTAGAAGTGGCGATCCAGCGTGTGAGTGAGAAAGAAGGAAGAAGTTAGCAAGGAGGTGGAGAAAAGGGCGGTAAGAGAGAGGTGGCGCCAAAGTGTGAGCAGCAAGTGAGTTAGCAACAAGGAGGAGAAAAGGGCGGTAAGAATTCAAGAATTTACCAGCATTTTATGGAATGTTAAGGTTCATTAACATGTTCACAACAGCCCTTCACATCAACAGCTCCAGCTATAGATGTGACTATAATTTACTGTTCATCAGAATGGGGCAGCTCATATGTGTGACCTTCTTACTTTGGAATGAAAACGGGGAAAATTTCGCCATGGCAGTATTTATTGAAGGAGAACAGTGTGTGCTACTCACTCTGTGTCGAGTATTACAGGTGCAGGAGTTGGGACTATGTTTTATCTACAGTGGTAAAGTAAACTTGGGAACCCTTGAGTGGATGAAGTCAAAAAGATACACTTGTAATATCAATTACAAGAAATTTAATTTCTTGCATTTGTACATACAAACAAAGATATGCTGTATCTCAAATTTGTCAGACATGGTGTTAACTCACCTGTGTTCCGTTGCAGTGGTGGAGATGTCGACCAACACACATTATCATAAAAACAGAAGGACGTGGAAAAAGGAAATAATTGTTCATCTGATGTCATGCCCATCCTCATAAAAATGTAAGATTTTAGTACGTGAGGGTTTGCCTGCCACGGTATACAGTATGGACACAGTGTCCAGTCTGATGCTCACACATTGAAGATGACAAAGAAACATTATGTGCCTAAGTATTTGTCAGCCTGCACCAGAAGTGAGAAACCTGCATTCATTTTCAACACCTTCAGCATTAGAATAGTTAGTGAATTATTTAAAATTACATGCAGCAACATACATCCCTCTTAAAGAACAGAGTGCTTTTGCCTGCTAGCAGCAGTTACTGTACCTATAACCTCTGTGATCTGCAGTCTGCAAGTGAACTATACCGACTGAGTGACCGCCGCTTGTCCCCGAAGTTAGTGCCAACTTTTGCGGATAGAGGGTGTCACATGGTCAGCATGATGGCTCCCCATGGCCGTAAACCTCGGTTTTCTAGACTGGAGCCACTATTTCCTTGAAATAGCTCCTCAGTTATCCTCACAAGGCTGAGTGGACCCCGGTCCAGACCCACTACTTCTCACAAAATCTGATAGCGCCAGGAATCGAACGTGGGACCTATGGATTTGTAGCCACGAACTCTGACCACTCCACTAGACCACAGAGGCAATCTACTGTACCGATATAATTTTTTAAATATTTTGTAGAGAGGCTGTGAAACAGTGTTTTGATTGGATGATTAGCTGTATGAATAAGGAATGAATTTCCATTTTAATGGCAGTCTCATCATCCATCATCAGGGATTAATTGTATGAGTGATGCAGCAATGTGGCCAGTGTATACATACAGTTGCTCTTGGAATCTGGTGTCCTCATTGCAAAGGAACTAGTGGAGAGAACAGTGAGTGAAGTCAGGCATTGACTTATATCCAGGGCAGCAGTTGTTATTTCCTAACATGGAAAGACTCAGATGTTAGCAAAAGTTACTAGTGGCTGTGTGTTTAAGGCGCTTCNGGCTGTTTTTGTCATTAATGTGTAATATACTGTTTTATAGGATTTGGTTTGTTTTCAGATTCCTCTTAAGTTGAATCTTGTCCTCATAATAATTTCCAATTTTGTTCTGTTTACTTCCCCCTCAGGCTTTGCTTACCATTTCACCATCTCTTCATATTTGTGTGCACTTTGGGATTGCAGCATTTAAATTTGTAATGGGCTGTCAGCTGTAGCAGCATAGCAATGTCAAGCAATGTGTTGAGTGAATATACTGAGATTATACTTCGAGGAGACTTCGTCTGAGGCCACAGGCATCAGAATAGAATTATCTATTTTGGTTGTGATCAAGAGTCAATTTTAATGTAGTGGATTTGCAATAGAAATTGGATATTCAGATTGGGCCATGGTGTATGAACATAAAACATTTGTGAAGTGTGTTTTTGCACTGTTCAGTACATTTCATGAGAAGTATGCAAGTCCAAACGTACTCAAAAGTGAAATTGTGTGATAAGGAGCCCTCCCACAATTCTTTATCTCACAATTATGGTCTGTAGTGGTAATCCATGAACGTAATCATCTTGCTGCAGTGGGAACTGGCCAAGGTGAGAAGGCAAAAGGATGACTAATGAGATGTGATAGATTTATGTACAATAATGTAAAAAAAATAATTGAATGTGGGAAGTAGTGTTGGAATTTGGAAGAGGATAGACCGGCTGATTATGAGATTGTCGTGTGATCTGCAAACTTTGAATTGTAAATTGCATTCCCAAATAAATATGGGGGAAGGGAAATTGCAAATTAAATGCCAGTGATATTGTCTGTGGATGCACTTTGCCATAGGGAATATTAATTTTGTATGTAGGGAGGTAGTGTTTGGGAACTGTTGCATATCTATGTGATGTAGGCTGAGCAAGGAAGGCTTATAAGTAACATCTCAAATAGGTTCTGAACATGTAATTAATCTAAGGACTAGTGTGTGTTGTGGATTATTAGAATATCTTTAGGGGATAAAATTCGTGAATTTTGGCTTAGGTGTATTGAGGACAGTAGCAAAGAACCAAGGGCATGTCAGTCACAGGAGAA